GAGCAGAATTCCCCCTCCAGGTTAGGAAGCGATTCTTTAAAAATGCATTAGGAAAAAAAAATATACGCAAATGTGAGCGAGCTAAGAAAAACAAAGAAAAAAAACAAAAGAAAAAAAAAAAGGGAAGAAAATGGCGGGGGGGGGGGGGGGGAAGAAGGGCGAGGGAAATCCCTCCTCCGGGATTTTACCGTGAAGGCTGCGGTTGGGAAGTTATTCAAAGTCCTCGATACAAAGGAAAGAAAAGGCTAAACTTGGGAAACTTCCTTTCCAGGGCTTTATTGTTGGCCATTAGCCCGCCTGTCTAGACTTCAAATAACACCTTGTTTATCTGTAAACAGGAGCGGGAGCTGCTTGGGGCTGGCGGGCGAGGAGAAGATCAAGGGTGAGGGTCCCCTCGCTTATTATCCCCGCAGCTCGTGATGTCAAGGTCAAACAACGCCTAGTCACGGTCAAGGGTAATACAGGAGTGACGTCACGGCCTGCTGACCTAATACCCAGCGAGCTACGGGCAGGGCGTTAATGGATAAACGAGCAAGGAGAAGAGAAAAAAGCGATTCCCAATGCCATTTCCTAACGGGGGTGTGAAGAAATAAGTGGGGAAAGGTAGAAATTCATTGGATTTGTGTTCCTGGGGGGGGTCACGCTCCGGGGGAGCTCGGCTTCCGCGCCCGCGGAACTTCAGCAGGGAAACAACGAGCTGTTCCTCGGGTTTTGCGTGCGCGCGCGCAATTTTTATTTGAATTCCTTCTCCTCCGGGCAAGTGCCTCCTCCAAAGCCTTTGGAAGAGGATGAGCAAATTTCTTGAGTTGTAGATTGTATTTTACCCTTCTTCTGGGAAAAACAACCCGATCCCACCGTATCTAGGATCGGCAGGAAGGGTTTATCTCAAAAATTCACTGGGGGTATTATTTTTCTCCCACCGGCCCCGAAAACATATTTCTTTTCACCCAAACCGGCGGGATTAAAGGGAGGACCGAGTGTCCGCGGATGCGTGCGGAGGGGAAGGGGAAGGTTTGTCCGTCGGGAGCTCCCGGGTTCCCTCTCAGCCCCCGGGGGTCCAATCCTGCCCTCGCCCCGCCGCCACCCCGACCCGACTCCAACCCCGACGGCGGGGGGAGACTCAGCCCCTCTTTTGGAAGGCTGAATAACTCAGCCCCCCTTTGGGGGGGGGCTGAACTCCGAGGTCCTGAGCACGTCGAGGACGGGCTCCTCCCTTCCCTGGGGTCTACATCCCCCCCGCCCCAAATCCCAGCCGGCACCTCAGCATCGCCCGCCTGCATCCGTGCGCCTTCCCGGCTCTCGGGCGGTGGTACAGCCCCGAGGGGAGGATGGAGGGGTCGAGCGGCACAGAAAAATCAGGATATTTAAAAATATCGTGGGAAACGTGGGCAACGGCAGGAGATCGCCCGGTTTCACGGTCTCGCCAATAATCTGCCAACCAAGACCGTCAAAAACCCTTGATGCCCTGAAGTGCAATGAATGAATTTCTTGTTTCTTCTCTGTTTTGGCGTTTGTTTTCTTCCCCCCACCCCCTTTTAATTCTTCCCACACGAGTTGAAAGAGCGACTGACACACAAACCGACACGCAGACAGCCCTCTTCCCCTCCAACAAAATTAAAACCACAATTGACAACAAATTCCAGAATTGGAAACTCCGTGAATAACTTGGGCTCGATTTCCCACATCCGTAAAGAGAGAAAAAAAAAAAAGAAGTATTTATCCATATCCCCTCATTCCCGCCAATAACCCTCGCTCAATAACCTCGCTTTCATCGACTTTTTTTCCCCCCAGAATTGGTGAAATTCAGGTACAATGGGGGAGAATGGAGCCACAGCGAACAGCACACTCGCTGTCGGGATGTCGGATTTGGGCTTGTCTGGAGTTGCTCTCAGGCGTTGCAGTGTCTGCGCACACAGCAAGTTTGTTTTTTTTTTTTAAGAGGAAGAGCTTTTCTTTTTTTTTTTTTTTTTTTTTTTCACCCAAAACACACGTTCTCGTGGCTTTCGTGCGTTAGGGCAGGTTTTACCAACGATTTAATCCCGCTACAGCAGCGGCGATGGGCTTCTCAAGGCATTGCGATATTTCCTAGCTGAGCGTCTTTAAAAACAACAACAAAAAATTAGAATAACAAGAATTAAAGCTCTGCCGGTCCTTCCAAACCACCGAAGTTCTCCAAAATAAATGCAGAAAACACCGTCAGATCGACCCCGGGTTTCCCCGCTCATCAGCTGCGCGCTCGGAGAAATCAGGGACTGGGGGGGGGAGAGAAATCAGGGACCCCCTTTTTTTCACCCACGCCCCCCCTCTCGAATTTTTTTTCCCGGTATTAGACGAAGCCGCCTCCCGCCTTCCCGGAGGTTTGGGGAAGTATCCAAATCCATACGGGGCTTTCCCGGCATTTCTGGTGGCGGTATGGGCTCCATAGGGCACCCTCTGTCACCGCACTGAACCCGCGGAGAGACGCTATACGTACGGCCCCCCTATGCATCTACCCTTTAGACGCACCTATAAAGCTATATGTGCACCCATACGCACACACCGGTACAGACCCCCAGCGAGCTCTTCACACCGCTTGGTAGGAGAATATAGAGGGTTGCACTTGCATATGTATATATAAATTTATATATATAACGTACGCATTATCTACCCACCATTTCGTATAATAATGTAGAGGGGTGCACTTGCAGAGAGATATATATATATATAAATTTATATAGAGAGTGTAGACACGTTGTTATACGCGGTATAGGATACAGGACCTATATCCGGAGGTCCACAGGGCGCCTCAAGACCCAGACTTAT